ACCTGAGGTATAGGGAAGGGATGCCAGGGCTTCTTAGCAGAGGGACAGCAAGGACAGAGTGGGGTGGGCATGAGGGCTGCACTGGGGTCTCAGAGCAGCTGGACAGCAGCTGTCTCTCCATGCTGCATGCATGGGACTGGGCACGGAGCCCTCTGCACCCTGGGGCCGGGCAGAGCACAGCTCAGGATTTCACAGGTGGCACAGCCTCCTACCAGCAGGGGAAGGGGGGACCACTGGCACTGCCAGCTCTGGCCACCCCCACCCCAAGGCCTTGGTGTCCCCAGATCTCCTTGAGCCTCTCCGGAGTCCCTGAGCTAGACTCCCTGGGGAGGAAGACAGTGGACATTTGCTAAGGGGCCACATCCCAACTGAGCAGAAGCCTGCCTTTGATGGCCAATTGATAGTCGTGCCCATCTGAAGATACCATGTCCAGCTGGGTGGCCACACACAGGGCCCTCCGTCCACACTGCCCAGCAGAGGCAGGGAGAGCCCATGCACATAACCGGGGTGATGCCGGGCTGGTTGGCCCCGGTGCTGCCATGCTGACAGCTGTGGATACGCGCAGGCAGGAGGCAGGCGGTTCCACCTTCTGCTGCCTACCAAGCTTGTCCACTGTCCTCGCCAGGGAAGGGGCAGGCCTGGGTCTCAGCCTATCCGCCTGACACTTGCCTTGTCCTGAGGGACTGTGGCCCAGGCCCTCTGGGCTGCAAAGGGCCACACCCCAGGATGGGCTGAGGAGACCACAACCCAAGCAAGTGGCTCAAGGTGCTGGACAAGCACCCTGTGGGTGACCAGACGCAGATCCCAGGTTGCCTCATAGCCTGAGCAAGACCCACCCCTCCTCTGGGCCTCAGTTTCCCACCCAGCCTCTGTCCACTCTGGGCTGTGCCACTCTTCAGAAAGCTCGACTATTAGAGAGGATGCCATAGAGGGGCTTGCAGGTGGGGCTGGGGACTTGCAGAGGAGGGAGAACACCCAAGGCCGTAGCCCAGACCCTGAGGCCACCAGTTATTTCTGGCTGCTCTGGAAGGAGCACCCTCACCTGTCCTCTGGGTCCTTGGTGGCACTGGAGCTGTGCACCAAGGGGTCCCTGGGACCAGATTCACAAGTCCAGTCCAGCCAGAGCCCAAGGCCTGCAAGCCCGCCCCTGCCCCCAGCGTGCTGGCCCCGCTCCACGTCTGTTGGTCAGCTGGAACCCTGGGGCAAGGGCTCGATCCTACAGATGACGAAACTGAGGCTCACAGCAGCCAGGCCACCGTGAGGCGCACGCTATGGCCCGGGGCCTTTGCTTGACCTCTGCTGCCCCTTCGGCCCACCAAACCAATGCATATGGATACTTCCTTTTTTTCTTGGTGCCAAATGTAATCCTTAGTAATGTTCCCCCCTGCTTGTTCATCCGTAGAAGATATGACAAATCCTAAAACCTATAAAAAATGTTTTCAATTACCCAGTGTCCTACCACCCAGGCATAACAAATTAACATTTCTTTCCTCCCATGACGGTCTGTGGTAGTTCTTGTCTTAAGTGGGATTACAACACTCTTCTCCCAGTGCGGGTGCACATCTGCCCAGTCTTTGAGTGCCTTTGAAAGACTGCTTCCTGGGCCAGCGTCAGAGCCGCCTTTGTGAATGGAACCAACCCATCTCAGCAGCAGCCCATGTACCACACAAGGCTGCTCTGGGTGTCCCCTCTGCACACAGGACCCTAGAGCTTGTCAGTTGCCCCTGAGATTCAGGGAGGGACAGCCACCCAGCACATAGCAGTATGTCCTGCCGTTGTCCAGACCCGTGTCCTTTCTCACCTGTCTGCTGTCCAGCCTGGTATCCCCCAGCTCCCCTGGCCGCCAGGACACTGCCCGCCGTCCTCACTCACGGGTCTGGCACACTGAGATCCATAGCCAGAGGGACCCAGTCTCTTTCAGGTGCCAGGATTGAGGAAGACCCCTCCCAGACTAAGGCAGTGGCTTCAGGCCTAGGAGTAGGGCCAGGATACCAAATATAAACCCCAGCACATGACCAGGAATGCTGCCACTCAGTGCCACATGTGGGCTCAGAGCCTTCAGAGGCCCTATGGGCTGGCAGGCTGCCCAGGTAGGACCCCTCCTCTGCCTTTGGCAGCCCTGTCTCTGCCATGGTACAGATCAGGCATTGTCCTGCAGGGAACATGGGTTCTCCATTTCTTGGGCTAAGCTGTGGCTGTGGCTGGTCACCCCGCGGTGGGCCTGTGTGGCCCCTGCCCCTCCCCACCCTCTCCTCCACCTGTTCTGAGCAGCTCTGTCCTCTTCGCCCACAGGCTGCGCAGCCCCTGGGTGCCCTTGTGCCTCGGGCAGCCCCGAGTCCTGCAGGGCCGCCTGGCCAGGTCCTCACCCTCGCTTTGGGACAGGTAACACACCTGTGTCTCCCTCCATTCTTCAGTGTCTGTGTCTGTCCCCAGACATTCATCCCATGTGTGTGTCCATCTTCCCTGAGACAGGCAAGCAGGCTCAGAGAGGGAGGGGTCTCCAGCTGGCAGTGTGTTGTCCCATGTCCAGCATTGCCCCTGGGCCCAGGCTCCTGTGAGTGGCCAGAGGGTCCTGGGGAAGAGAGGGCCTTCAGCCCCCTACTGTGTCCAGGATTCCTCAAAGGCTCGGAGGGGACCAGGACATACACACTGCCTGGGCAGGGCCAGGCTGTACCTTAGTTGACAGATGAGTGAGGTGACCCCACCCCACCCTCCATGCTAACCCCTGCCATTGGTTAAGGAGCTGTTTCTGGAACTGTGACCCCAGTTCAGTGACCCAGGCTACCCTCACCCAAGGCAAAATCTTGGACCCCAGCCACTTCCCCGGCTATTAGTGGCCTGGTGGCCCCACTGCCACACAGTGCCACCCTCTACATCAAACCTTTGTCCGGGGCAGTTCTATAACCTACACAGAACAGGGACCAGGGACAGCTCTTCTCTTCATTCAGGTGTTCCACTCACCTTACAGGTGGAAACTGAGGTCACAGGCAGGTGGGGCTTGGTTAAGTGCCCTGGAAGGGAAGCACACTGGACCCAGGTGACCTCCCAAGCCCCTCCCTGTCCAGAGCTTCTGACAAGCTGAGCCCTCAGGAATTTGTGGCAGACTTCTAGCAGGGCAGGGTTGGCTGGGGCATGGTCTGTCATCTAGGGTGGGCATGGCCCTGAGGTCTGTGGGGACGTGGCCTGGGACCTGCTGGGGTGTGGCCCTAGTTCTACGGTAGGCATGGTGCTGGAACTAGAGTGGGCATTGCCCTGAGGTCTGATGGGGTGTGGTCTGGGACTCAGTGGGTGTGATGAGGTGGTCAGTTGAGTGTAAGAGGGGAGAGCCTAAGAGAGGCTACAACTGGTGTTAAGGCCTGGGCAGAGTCCCTGTGTGGCTGAGTGTGGAGGAGGCGTGGCCTTTGAGGTGACAGGAGAGGTGCTGTGGTGAGCCATGCCTGGTCTTTGGCAGTGACAGAGCCAGAATGTGGGGTGGACACAGCAGGGACACTCCCTTGGGCGAGTCTGAGGTGTCAGCAGTGACAGCTAGAGCGGGTTGGGGACTGTTTGTAGGCTGGTAGAGCCGTCTGAAAGGGTAAACTGAGGCTGGGAGCTGGTGTCCCTTGAGTGAGTCTTTGCTGGCCGGCCCTAGCCAGCGGGCACCTCCTCCCTCTGGACTACAGGATCCCTGGGTAGGTGGAGGTCCCAGTGCCTGTTGTGAGGACCCAGGAACAGAGCAGGCAGGTGGGGGAGGGGAGAGCGGCGACGCACATGCTGTAGATGACGCCAGAGGTCAGGTGGATGACCTTGGCATCCGAGCTGGGAGCAGGGAATGGGAGAGAAGGAAGCTGGCCTGGGAGGGCATGGGGTGCCCTGCAGAAAGGGGGTTCAGAATCGACAGGGCAGGGGAAGGGGCTCCAGACAGAGGCCTCAAGGAAGCCCAGCTGTGCCTGGTGGAGGAGGCAGGGTAGGGGCGGTGGCGGCTTCGGCGGCGGCTGGCGGGCAGGCGGGCACCCAGCCGCGGGGCAGCGGGAGGGCTTCCTGGAGAGGGCGGCAGAGCGCCCAGCCGTGGTCTGCGTGGGTAGCTGCTTCGCCTGCCTGGGGCTTCCCTGGTTACTCTGCATCCTCTTTCGGGGACTAAGTTGCCCCTCCCTTCCTCAAGATTCTCAAAACACGCAAGCAACTCTTTATTTTTATTTATTTTTTAAAAATATAGACCTCGGCAGGAATCCAACAATGTTTAATGGAGGTTCGCTGGGACAGTGCCCGCTGTAGTGCGTGTCGTTTGCTCACAGGCCACAGCCTCGGGACACCGGGGAAAGGGACCCCTCACCCACGTGTGGGCCCAGGGGTCTTACAGCATATGGCCTGGCCCTTCTGCCCGCCCAGTCCAAGTGGGCGCAGTGCACACTTCCCTCGTCCACAGCAAACCCCCTGAAACCAACACCCTGGGGGCCCCCTACGCTGACCCAGGCTTGGGAGGGGTGGCCCCGCCTCTGTCCAGTGCCCTGTTCCAGTCCAAGTGACTTAGGATGAGGGAGCCCTCCTTCTCCGTGGGGGGTCTTCTAGAGGAAAGGGGAGCACCGCTGGCACTGTGAACCTCCTGCCCCCCCGGGGTGTGGACCTTATCTTCCCCAGAGAGGTACCCCAGGGGCTGTGGCTCTGGCCGAGGGAAGGACTCCAGCCTTGGACAGGGCCTGGTGCTGAAAAGGGGCAAAACCAGCGTATGCTGGGCTAGGGTGTGCTTTATGCCATATGGTGGCGAGTTTGAGACCGGTGAACCCAAGGGGGCCGCACGGGAAGGATGCCGGTGGAGGGTGGTTCTGGGCAGCCTGGCTCAGCATCAGAAGCCCTCATCCTGGGGGCCATCTGTCCTGAGTGCCGCCGCCTCAAGGGGAGTGCGTGCGTGTGTGTACACGTGTTTGCAGGCTGCGCACCCATAGCGCACTGCAGGTGGCCCACGAGGGCAGGTTCCCCGCGCTCAGCGCCCCGGTCCGGGCCGCCCTCGCGTGTCGTTACAGCGCGCTGCAGGAGCAGAAGGGAGAGCTGCGCAAGCGGCTGTCCTACACCACGCACAAGCTGGAGAAGCTGGAGACCGAGTTCGACTCCACGCGCCACTATCTAGAGATCGAGCTGCGGCGTGCGCAGGAGGAGCTGGAAAAGGTCACTGAGAAGCTGCGCAGGTGAGGGGCGGGGCCTAGTGGCGGGCGGGGCCGGCGGGCGGCGCCAAGCACAGCCCGGCTCCTACCACGGCGGTGACCCTATGGGCAGAGAGTGACCCGAAAATCAAATTCAATGCCTCTAATATGTGAACCCAGGGTTGACTGCTGCCCGGAACACGCTCTTCCAGGCCCCTCTCCACACCCGGCCCCGTGTCCCGCTCTCACTTTCAGTGTGGCAGCCGTATATCACCCAGGTGGCCGCCAGGATCCCAGCTTCGGAACGCCACAGTCTGGGCTGGATAGCGGTGTCCAGCCTGTGAGATGAGCTAGAGTTTCGCGGCTGTCCCTTGAGGGGCACAGAGGCTAATGAAGCTTGAGTTAACGGACTGCCAAATGTTTCTAAAAAGAACAAAATTTCCTCACATTTAAGATGGACTTTTTTTAAACATATTACTTGCTTTCCTGTCTTCTTAAACAGAAAATGCAAAGAGAATGCAAATTTTACTGTTGGTTTAGTTCGTTTCAAATATTTATAGAGCACCAGCTGGCGCTGCCCCGAGGAGGACTCCCGTAAAGGCTGTTTGTCCCAGCCTGTCAGGCTTTTTGCATGTCACCACCCAATTGTGTGGAAGCCCGGCATGGGCCACACAGCCAGGCCAGACCTGGGGCAGGGTCCTGCTGTGCCTTAAGCACCTTTTAGTGTCTGTTTCCGACAGCAAGCTGGGGCAGTAACACTACACCAAGGTTGTCAAGCTGATGGACGGTCAGACAGACCGACATGGGCCCCAGCCCCTGCCACCGGCTGTAGAAGCAGATTCTCCCCCAACGGGCAGCTTCTCCTTGCAGGGAGAATTACATCTCCACCTGTTGGGTCCCTGTCACTTCCCTGCTAATGTGCGGCTGAGCTATACAACACAAGCCATGTTTGTGCGAGCTGTGTGTGAGGTGTGAGGGACCCGGTGAGCAAGGAGGACCGACAGTCTCTTGCAAATAAAATTCCTGTCAGAGGCAGAGATCAGCACAGCCCTGTACCTGGGCCTGGGGAAGCCAGGAGGAGACCTGGCTCTCAGACCGGGGTGCTGGGGACCTGCCCCACCCTCTCAGTGGCTGCCAGCCCTGGCAGTCATGGAAAGGTCAGGCTTTGCTCAATGGTGCTCCCTCTGCATCTTGCTGCAGGATTCAGACCAACTACATGGCGCTGCAGAGGATCAACCAGGAGCTGGAGGACAAGCTGTACCGCATGGTGAGGCCCCCACGTCTACGGCCCCAGCACACACGCCCATCCTCCAAGCACCTCGAGCACCTCCTCCCTCTGCCCCACCCTGCAGGGCCAGCACTATGAGGAAGAGAAGCGTGCCCTAAGCCATGAGATTGTCGCTCTCAACAGCCACCTGCTGGAGGCCAAGGTGACCATCGACAAGCTGTCGGAGGACAATGTGAGTGCCGAGGCATTGCCCCCAGAGGGGGCCAGGCGTGTTCAGGGCTCCCCAGGAATCAGAGGCAGGCAGGGGACTGTGGCTCCGGGGCTACTGCCCCCACAGCGGACAGGAGAATGGAGGGGGCAGGCAGGCCTCCTTGACGTAACACTGCCAGAGCCCCCAGCAGACCTCCTTCTGGAAGGACTTCAGCTAGGCACTTGAGGCTGTGTTGTTCAACATCAGGTGGAGCTGCCTAACCGCAGGGTGGGGCAAGGCCACGCAGGCCTCCTGCCTTGGGCCACCCCCAGGGTCCCATGGGAACTGTGCCACCCACAAGCCTGATCTCAGGGACCCCCATGGAGTTAACTGGCCATGCTCTAGGCCCCTTGGCAGCTGAAGATCCTTTACCAGGAAGCATCTACTCCTGCCAGACCTACCTGGCTGGAGTGAAGAGCATCAGCCAACCCTAAATGGACCCTCCCCAGAGTTGACATCTGAGCAGGGAGGACAGGAAAGCTGGTGACCACATAGTGCGGTACCTCAGAAATTCTGGGCACTGTAGGCAGCAGGAAAGCGAGGAACAGCACCAGGGAGATACCGGCCACTGGATCTCCAATTCCAGCAGGATGTTTCCAGGAGAGGCCAGGGGCCATGAAGATTAGGCCAAGCAGATGTCTGGGGCAGAACATTTCTTCCGGGCTGGAAGGACCCCAGGGCCGAAGGCTGCCTGGGGACCTTGGAGAGTGGCAGCAACCCACAAGGAGCCCTGCTGTGCAGGCTCCTATCCAAATGGCTTCATTTGGAGGGAAATGAGTCCTGTAGAGTCCTGAGCAGAGGGTAGGGGTTCCTGCGCTCGTGGTTTTAGGGGCTGTAGTGCTGTGTGCAGACACGGGGCAGAGCCATGGCCACCAGCACAGTGACAGAAGGCTGGTGGCCATGAAGGCCAGAAGATACACGAGGGCTCTGGCTGTATTTTTAAGCCACAGCCAATAGGATTGGCCAAGATTTGGGATATGGAGGGAAAGACCTGAGTGTGGCGGCTACAGTCAAAGCCCGAAGGCAAAGAACCGGCTCCTGGAGGAGCAGGCAGAGGTGCAGTGGGAATCAATCCAGAGCACTAATGGAGCCTGAGGTGGCCAGGAGGAGACAAGAGGCCAGGACACGAAGGGCCTTAGGCTTAGTGGAGGGGTTAGAACCAGCAGGGAAGATTTCAAGGGACTGGCGGGGTGGGGTGGGGGACACCAGGCAGTGTGGTGGCTCACAGCCCGCGGGTACTCAGGCAGTAGGTGAGGGGCAGGCTGAGAAGTGGCCTTGGAATTCGGGAACGTGGAGGTTGGTAACTGACTGCCACGGGCCCTGCTAACCAAGGTGCTGAGGGTCCAGCGTGGAGCACTCCTGCAAGAACTGTTGCTGTGGTAGGAGGCTCGAGGCACTGCTGGGATGGGAGACCTTCCCTGATGGTGTAAGACCACTGCCATTGCTCTTGGCCAGCTTTGCAGGGACAGTGCATGAGGAGGCGGGGCACAGCCATATCAGTGGTCTCCAGGCCACGCTGTGGTCGCTCATATGCAGGGCCAGAATTTGAACTCAGGACTATCTGATTCCTTTCTGCAGAGCTCTCCCCTCCACCTGCCCCCTACCTGCAACAGCCCCATGAGCACTTCCTCAAGGCCAGAACCTTGGGCCCCACAAGAACATCCCTGAAAGTCCTAAACCTTACAGCCGCAGACATGGACAGCTCAGGGCCTTGGTCACTGTCACATCTTCCCCTAGGGCTATGAGCAATGTGAAATGCTGTCCAGGGCCACCCACTCCCCCTAGTGGCATCCCCTACTGGCTGTGGCTGTGGGGCTGGATAGCAGCCGGTGCCTGTGGCCAATTCACTCTCAGCCAGCCTTGCTCTTCCTGGGAAGCCTCAGCCCCGGCTTCCCTCCACCCCGCTGGCCATTATAAGGGATGGTGGTGGAGCAGAAAAGAGCCACAGGATATCCAGCCCCACCGCACTGGGTCTGTGGCAGCAGCCCCAGGCCGGGAGCACCTGCAGGTGAACCAGGTGGTCCCAGGGGCTGGCTGACAGGGTGCAAACTCCCATACAACCACAGGCATATGCAACAGAGATTTTCAAAGACCAAAGCACCTTGACTGATCCTACTGTTTGCATCTGTTTTCAGCTCAGAGGCTGAGCCAGTCCCTGCCTGCGTTCAGGGTCACACACCTCCCTGCCCCCGCCAGCCCTGATGCCAGGCCACCCAGTGCACATGGGTATAGAACTGGGGCAGCAAGGGCTGGGACTTATCCCTGTAGCTCTTTGGTGCCGTGCACACCCTTTCTCTGGAAGGCCAAGGGACCTGGAGCCCAGCGGCCAGCCCAGGGGCCCCTGCACAGCTGCAGGCCTGGCAGGGCCCTCCTCCACATGCAGGCCCTGTGAAGCCAGAAACACACCTGTCACCTGGTGCCAGCTGCACCTCCAGTCCGCCCCCGCCCGTTGCCCCCTGGCCCTGGGCGCTGGCCAGGCACGGGCCCTGGCTGGCGGGCGATGCCGACGCCTTCTCTTTCTTCTAGGAACTCTATAGGAAGGACTGCAATCTAGCGGCCCAGCTGCTGCAGTGTGGCCAGACCTACGGCAGGGCCCATAAGGTGTCCGAGGTAACGCAGGGCCCATAAGGTGTCCAAGGTAACATGATCCCGCCCCGCACTCAGGCCCACCCTGCCCCATGACCACTCTGGGCTCCTTTCGGGCCAGCCCCCTCCCGAGGCCACTCCCCAGCCCTGAAGAGGAAGACACTGGGGTAAGCCTGAGCCCCTTGTCCCTCCTTGCCTGCGGGACTTGGTCTATCTGAGGGCAGCAACCTCAACTGGCCTGGACAGCTGCCGGCCTCCCTGGAGCCCCTGTTGCCTACCCAAGTGGCCCATACCCCTGCGCTTCCACCCCCAGGTCCTCACAGCAGCCCTGAGTTCTGGGCACTATTACAGATGGTCCCATCTCTGAGAAGTGAACTTCTGGAAAAGAGGCTGAGCCCAGGCCCCAGGCTGGCAGCCTACACCCAGCCTCATGCCAGAGCAGAGGCCCCTCGCCCAACTATGGTCACCTCAAGAGCTGGTCCAAGAAGCCCTTCCAGCCAGGCCACCCTGCCCCACTTCCCCACCCACACACCTGCCCCAGTCCCTGCCCCTTTCCCTGGTTGTGGGCCATGCCTATTTTTGTGTATCTACAAAATAGATCAAACAGTAGTGCAGCCAGCCCCTGTGGCACCAGGTGCCCACAAGGCACCTGGTCCTCACCCCTCAATCTTTGTTGCATCTGTTTCTGAGTCTGTCTTGTTCTGCAGTGGGACCTGGGTGGGGAGCCCAGGGCTGGGAGAGCAGGTCAGCCACCCGCTGGGCAGCAGCTGGGATAGGTGGCTCGGCTAGCCCCACTGGCATGGAGTGGGTTGGGGCAAGGTGTAGGAGCCAACAGCACCCCAGGTGTGCCAGGACCATCCCAGGAGGTTCCCCTCGTCTGTCTGTATGTCTGCCTGCCTGTCCATCATGCTGGCAATGGTCCTCAGCCATAGGGCCAGGGCTGGGCCACCCTCGGGCTATAACCATACCCCTCCCCCGCACCCCTTACAGCTGCCCTCGGACTTCCAGGAGCGCGTGAGCCTGCACCTGGAGAAGCATGGCCGTAGCCTGCCCTCCCCACTCTGCCGCCCGGCCTACGCCGACAGCGTCCCCACCTGCGTCATTGCCAAGGTGCTGGAGAAGCCAGACCCCGCCAGCCTGTCCTCCCACTTGTCTGATGCCTCCGCCCGTGACCTAGCCTTCCGAGACGGCGTGGACAAGTCTGGCCCGCGGTCCCCGTACAAGGAGGACATTTGCTGCAGTGACCCAGCCCTCTACCACCCCGAGGAGCCCCAGCTCGATAGACGGCCCAGCGTGGAGACACCTGTGGCCGACGTGGGCTTCCTGCAGGCCCAGAATTCCACCGACAGCGCAGCTGAGGAAGAGGAGGAGGCCGAGGCAGCGGCCTTCCCCGCCAGCTTCCGCCACGACACCTTCCCGGGCTACGCGGGCTCGCTGCCCACGTCCAGCTCCTACTCCAGCTTCAGCGCTACATCCGAGGAGAAGGAGCACGCGCAGGCCAGCACGCTCACCACCTCACAGCAGGCCATCTACCTGAGCAGCCGCGATGAGCTCTTCAGCCGCAAGCCGCCCACCTATGAGGGTAGCCCTCGCTTCGCCAAGGCCGCAGCTGCGGTGGCCTCACCACTCGAGGCCGAGGTGGCCCCGGGGTTCTCGCGGACAATGTCCCCATACCCGACTGAGTCCTTTCGCTTCCCAGGCTCTCCGGGCCCCCAGCAGGCCCTGATGCCCCCAAACCTGTGGAGCCTGCGGGCCAAGCCAGGGTCCGCACGGCTCTCAAGGGAGGACATGCGGGGCCACTGGCGGCCACTGAGTGTCGAGGACATCGGTGCCTATTCCTACCCGGCCCCCAGCATAGGCCGCGCTTCGCCCCGCAGCTTCTCTGAACGCTACTATGGTGGCAGCATGGGCAGCCCAGGCCGGAAGGCCGAGGGCCGCGCCAGCCCCCTCTATGCCACCTATAAGGCCGACAGCTTCTCGGAGGGGGACGACCTCTCCCAGGGCCACCTGGCAGAGCCCTGCTTCCTACGGGCAGGCGGCAGCCTGAGCCTTAGCCCCAGCCGCTCTGCCGACCCTCTCCCCGGCTACGCACCCAGTGACGGGGACGGGGACAGGCTCGGGGTGCAGCTGTGCGGGGCGGGCAGCAGCCCTGAGCCAGAGCACGGCTCCAGGGACTCCCTGGAGCCCAGCTCTATGGAGGCCTCCCCAGAGATGCACCCCGCTGCCCGCCCAGGGCCCCAGCAGGCCTTCCCGAGGACTGGCAGCTCTGGGCTGAGCCGCAAGGACAGCCTGACCAAGGCCCAGCTCTACGGAACGCTGCTCAACTGAGCACCTCTGCCAGCCCCCCTTGCTCAGTGTGGTGCCCAAGGGGTAACCTCCCCCCCACACCCAGTCCCTGCCAACAGGGTCCCCTGTCCTCTGCACCCAGCCCCGTGTCGCCCGAGAGGAGGCCCCTCACCCAGTTGTCTGTCCCAGCCCCGTCCTGGCGGGCCCTTGTAGAACCTTTCCACACCCCAGTGTCCCTCCACCCGAGGTGAGCAGCCCCCCTTTTATAACGTGATACTATTTTTATAGGGACAAGGGTCCTTCTTAACGCACTTGGCCTCCAGCTCCCTGGATGGCAGCCTTGGCGTTTTCAACACAAAGCTCCTTTCTTTTTCTGCGGAGGGTGCGTGGGGTCTGTCCCAGGAGGGCAGACCAGATTCCACAGTGGTGGGGAGACACCCAGTAAGCCAGCGGCAAGGGGACCCCAAAGCTCTGTCCACAGGGGATGTGAACCCCATTAGTGTATAGGAAGTGTTTCCAAACTTGTTTCTCCCCGTGCGGCCAGCACACCCGAGCTCTTCCGTGGCCCATATCCTGAGTAGAGCTGGGAAGATGCCCCGCACGGCTGGTGCTCACCCCCCTAACCCTGCCGACCCCACTGTGCTCTACCTCAGACGTGTGAGGCCCCGCCCCCAACCCTCCTCTCTGTGATGCATGCCTGTCTGGTTAGTGTTGTATTTTGCATTCATTAATAAAAGACACCAGTGGAAAGAATCTGCCTTTGGATCTTGCTCCTCCTCACCTTCGTGGGCCCCAGGAGAAGGCATTTGGGGCCATCTCTTGTCAACGCTGGGTCTGAGTCTTCCTGCCCACCAACCCCCCCCCCCAGGCAGGACACGTCCCTCACTGTGTCCTGCCTGGCTGACCGCCTCTCGTTCACGTTCTGTCTTCCTTTCCACCCAAGTACATTCTTCAGTGTGAGCTTCAGGGACACAGGCGCGGGTCCCTCCCCACCCAGCCTCCTGCTGGCCTGGGGTAATCACTGCACTGGGTGCTCCTTCGACCTGCATAGCCACCTCTCTTCCTGTGGCTGTTTCAAGCTTCACTTTGACTTAATTTTCTACAGCATTCCCAAGGTGTCAAAGAAGGGTCTCTTTTTAGGGGTCCCGGGGAGTCCATCTGTAGTTGCTGGATCTCATCTGTTCTGGAAAACCTTCATCTATTACTTTTTAAAAGCTTCCTCTGCCCGTCGGCCCATGTGGCCCCTGCAGCTGTGTCCATGCTGCCCCTGCTCCTCTGCGCCTCCCCACTTGGGTCTTGCTGGCTCTCACACAGCCTGTCTCCCGGCTCATAATTCACTCTGCTGCGCTCATCCCACTGCCAAACTCAGCCACAGAGGTTTTGTGACTCTGCTGTCAACACTTTCCACTTCTAGTACTGCTCCTGTGGCTTCCTGTTTGCCAGGGCTCTCTTCCCAGTCCTGTCTGATTTCAGGGGGCACAGCCCAGGTCCTGTCCTCTCCTGCCCTCATGTGGAATCTAGGGCTGTGCCCTCACTGCCTGCTCGTGCCGCCCCCTCGTCCGTGTGCCCTGGAAATGCATTTGTGGGTTCTGCAAGGAGTGGGATGGAGCCACCTCCTCCAGGGGCTTCACCCTTGGCCCCTCCTAGTGCCCAAGGGATCACCAGACCCAGGCACAGACCCTGAAGCTTGCCTGGGCTGCAAGCACCTGTTCACGTGAGCCTGCTCAGCCCCTGCCAGGGCTGTTGGACACTGCGCTAGGAGCCTTCATTTGTCCCCCAGTCTCTGGCTGAAAGCTGGCTTGAAGGACCCTGGGATTTGACTGCTTGGAGTGCTGCTCCACAGTGCTTCTCCCAGAAGCCCCCGCGCTGGGGCTCCGTGCTCCCCTCCTCTCCCCAGGCTGTAGCCATCTGTCCAGCCACGTCTGCCACGGGGACCCGGCCGTGCCCCAAGGCGTTCAGGGGTGGAGGACAAAGGCAGGCAGTGTCACATCAAGCTCATGCCTCAGAGAATACAGCCCGTGACATCCATCCCGGGGGAGAGGTGCTCACTGTTCAGGGGTCAGAGGGAAAGGCTTGCGCTGGGTTTTGAAGGATGAGCATGAGCTCGTCAAGTAATTCAGACAACAGGAACACAAGGAGCTCTGAACATTGTTGGGGCTCCCAGGGACCTCCTGGGCCTCGGCCCTCAAACACCATGGACCTGTTACCAGTGCTGGACCCAAGTGCCCCAGGGAGCCCCACCTGGACACCACTTTCCACCCCCTTTCATCCATGGCCAGCCCACTTCAGCCCCCAGGGGGCCATGTCTCCCTACAAGTGCTAGGGCTTCTGTGGACCAGCTTGCCCTTCTGGGGGCCGCGGCCACCCTGCACAGGCACAGGGGCCACTCACAAGGGAAGCCGAAGCCACGCCTGGCGCACCAGCCAGCAGTCAGCACTCAGGGCCCATGCGGGAACCTCTTGACGAAACTGTCTCTCCCCCATGACAGCCTCAGCTGTGACATTTCAGATTTTAAAGGTAGGATAAAGGTAAGCGTGGCCCAGGAAGGTGGGCGAAAGGGGGCCCATACATCTCTCCTGCTCCACGTTGTCTAAGTTTAGCCTTTTGCTTTTAACATTGCGCGTGGTGAACTCCCCCACACCTCACCCAGGATCAAAGTCGGGCTTCACAAACCCTCTTTGGAAGAAAGTGTTGGAGAGAGGCAGGCAAGACGCACATGCAGAGCAACCAGCCACGCTTCCCAGGTCAGCCCTGAAACACGGTGGCAGCCAGCCCCCCAGCTGAGAAATCACATGTAGCACTAGCACTAGCCACAGTGGGGCCCTGCGGAGCCCAGCGGGTCAGGGCTACAGGTCAGCTGGGAAGAAAACGGACCCCAGAGGCCTGGATCTGGGTGGTACCTGTCCAAGCGGAAGTGCAGGGTAACAACTGACGGTGCCCTTGGCACTAACGTTCTGCTTGGCCCCACAGGCCCATTTGATGGATGAGAAAACAGGCTGGATGGAGCACCGCCCTGGACACGCAGGGTGGGCCTGGGAGCTGGCAGGCTGCTGGCCCAGATCTTGCTAGGCCACAAGCAGCTGGGGTGGAGGAGCCCGTGCACGGGGGGCTGCGCAGCTTGGTCCGCACCTGACTGCTCATGGGGCAGGGAAATGTCAGCAACAACCAAGCAGGGACAGTGCTGGGCTGGTGGCGGTGGGAGCAGGTAGGGCTGGCCACAGGCGCCTAGGCACGCTCACGCGCCATTCATCCAACAGACTAAGCTCGAGCCTGCTCAGGAGACAGGCGAGGGGTCCCTTCCTCCAAGGTCTGTGCCTGCCTGCTCTGGCGGGGACCCCAGGGCTTGGGGCTATGCTGGCTCCCACCCAGCCTGGCCCAGACACTGCTGCTCCCAGCAGACAGACGCTGCACGGTGGGGGGACGCGCCCGGCAGTGAGCAGAGGCCTCCGAGAGGCACAAATCCCTCCCCACTGCAGTCTATGAGCCCCAAGTTCCCGCTGGTCACACCACCCTGGGGAGAAAGGGGCTGGGGCCCTTGGGATGGGCAAGGAGCCTGCTGCCTCTGATCACAGCAGGCCTGGGGGCCAAGAGGCAGAGGAAGCTGCTACTTCACATAGGCAGCTGAGATGGCCTAAGAAACAACATGACACACTTTCCTGGACCACACCTGGCAGGTGCTTTCATTTACGTGACCCTCACAACCCCTGAGACCAAGGCAGAAACTGAGGCAGTCCATGCTGAGGGGGCTGGCCCAAAGTTCTCTCCAGTGCCAGCTCACCTCTGGTCAGGCCGGGCTGGCGTCAGTGCCATATCTTGATGTCACCTCCCCAGGAGCAGGTGCCAAGGACAGAGGGCAGCACGGGGTGGTAGGTGGTGCCCACGCAGGCCTGAGTGTGTCCCTGCAGGGTACATGCCCGGCTGGCAGTACGGAAACTGAACATCAAGACCCGGCCATCAGCGCTGCCTGTCACCAGCAGGTCACCGCAGGGGGAGCACTCACAGCCCACGGCGTAGCCTTCCACCTGCCAGAGACAAGGCAGTGAGCCAGCCTCACTGGATCCATAAGGCTCCTGGGCCGGGGACCCACAGGCTAGCTCTGCAGAGAAAATGGCCCTGAGGCGGAGCCTGTAGGACCTGGCTGAAGCAGTCCCAGCTTGGCCAGGGGTCTAGACTCAATGGCAGTCACCACACCCCCAACCCCTCTCCCCCAGGAAAGCAGCCTGGGCAGGAAAGGTGGCTGTAGAGATGCTCCACCCACCCGCCCACCTGCTCCTGTCTCACCGCGGCCGGACTGCGAGCCAACCTAACGTTCTCCTACCTGGAAGCTGGGCACAGGGTAGCCCAGGCCCTGAGCAGACAGCAGCCACAAGGCCTGCAGTCACCAGGAGAGGCACCAGGGCCACCCAGACGGAGGGTCGCACAGCTACTCCCGCACCCCTGGCCTAGCGCAGCTCTGCGGCCAGGGCTCAGCATCCACCCTGGGGCAGGATGGGTACCTTGTGCCCTTCGTAGCGCCGCCGTCTGCTCATCCTGTAGGGCCACACCGCAGAGAAGAGGGCCAGGTAGTTGCCGTTGGTCTGTGCTAGGAACACAGGCTCCCGAGGGTGCAGGGCGAGGCTGGGGCAGGTGTACCTCTCCTAGGGGACAGCAAGGTGCAGGGGCTCAGAGAAGGCTCTCCTGGGGGCATCTCCCATCGGCACCCACCCCCACTCTGCACGTGCCCTGGGATTCCTGAGTTTCCAAGGCTGTTCCAACAAACTGCCACACTCAGTGGCTCAGAGCAACACACATGCAACGCTGGGGTTACCAAGCAATGCTGGGGGCTAGAAGTTTGACGTGGGCTTCCAGGGGCCAAAGCCAGGGTGTCAGCAGGGCTCAGGCAGTCGATTCCACGCCCCTTCACAGCCTTCACCTGCCATCCCCATTGCAGGCTGAAAACTGGCCCCCAAAACATAGCCATGTCCTAATCCTGAATGTGACCTAATAAAGCCAGTGAAAGGGTCACCCCAGATATAATTGGCTTAAGGATCTTGGGAGGAGGCAGTGGTCCTCAGTTAGGACCCCAAATGCAGAATCGCAGGCTCCCCTAAAGCGTGGAGCAGACAGGTGGGCACACACAGCTGAGGCCGTGAGCACAGGAGGCACAGCGTGGAGTGCAGCCACCACCAGAAGCTAGAGGCAAGGAAGGCTCCTCCCTGCCAACACCCGACCTCACCTGGTGACAGGAGGACTTATCAAGAAGTGCTGGCCTCTGGGCCTACAGGAGAATGAGTCTATGGTGTGTTGTCATTTGCCACCCAGCGGCAGAAGGCTCATCCACATGCCCACACCGCCTCCTAAGGTACACGGGGCCCCACGTGGCGGAAGGAAGGTCCAGCAAACAGGGTGGTGTCACTGTTTTAACCACTGTCCAGTCTTGAGAACCCGGCTCGGGCCATGAGCCCAGTGGGGCGCAGCAGGACAACATGCACGCCAGAGGCCACACAGTGGGACAGCACACTCGAGGCACTACACTGCACGTCCCATGCCCCCACCTGCCCCAGCCCTGGGCCAGCAGGACCTTGCAACCAGACACCAGCAGGGGTCACACACGCCCCTGGACCCATCGCTCCCACCGGGCAGCACCCGGAGCCTAGCCTGAGATCTGGAAGTGGGTCTGCCCAGGCTCCCCAGAACCCTCAGAGGATAGCCGAGGACGGGAGGAGACAGTGTGTGCGCACAGACGCAGTTCTCCCCTGGGCTGGGGCACCAGACAGGAGTGTGGGAAGACGGTGGTGGTGGGCGTGAGGGCGGTCGCGCTGATGCTACAGCTATGGTGAGGAGGGTGGCGGTTGTGCTGACGATGACGGCGGTGGTGGGGAGGGGGGCAGTGGCGAAGACTCTGGTGATGCTAACGTGGTGCTGAGGAGGGTGGTGGTGATGATGGCAACGGTGGTGGCGACAATGATGATGGGGATCGTGGTGACAAGTGTGCAGGTGAGGCACAAAGGAGCACTCTTTGTTCTTGGTGCTGTGCTATACCCTCTATGACCATTTTCTTAATCCTCAAAATTACTCTAAGAGGTAGTATCACCAACTTCCTTTCCCCTTTTTGTTGTTCTTTTGAGATGGCGTTTTTGCTAGATTATCCAAGCTGGTCTTGAGCTCCCGGGCTCAAGTACTCATCCTGCCTCAGCCTCCCAAGAAGCTGGGACTACAGATGTGTACCACCATACCTGGATTTTATTCTCCATTTTCTCAGAGGAATCAAGGAGAGTAACTTGTGGTCCCAGGGTCCTAGCAAGGGTTCCCACTGTGCAAGTGATGAGGCTAGGACTCTAACGTGGGTACTCTAACTCCCCCACCCCACCCCCGCCCAATCGTTTCATCCTTCAAAGACACTGAGCGGGGAGGGTGGGCCAGCTGGGGGTAGCGTGGGGGTCTTCTTCCCTCTTCCCATCCATCGGATCAGGGCTGGCAGCTCCACCTGCTATGAGGTGGCTGGGGGGTGGGGAGCTGCAGAAGGCTTTCCATGTGAGCATGTCACCCCCATCCTGGGGACCTCAGGCCCCTGAGCCCCCACCCACAGGAAGGGGCGAGGGCTCCTGAGAGGGTGACAGGAATGTGACAGGAATGAGGCTGACGCTGAGCTCGGCAACAAATCAGGCTACTCACGTGGAAAATCTGGTTGGAGATTTTGGCAGAGGTCCGGAAGTCCCAGGCTATAATGGTGCGGTCTGCAGAGTCCCGGGTGGAAGCATCCGTGCTGCTCAGGAACTCAGAGCCTTCCTGCAGGAAGAGGATGTCCAGGGTCTGCTGGATGGTCGCCTTGTAGCCTCTCACCACCTGTATGAGGGGACACCAGTGACACCGGCAGGGTAGGGGAAGGTGCTGAGCAAGGCCGAGGCCTGCCCATGGGCCCCTAAGGAGCAGAGATCCGCTGTCACAGGCATGACACAGGTGACAGGGCTGATGTCAACACGTGACACAGCTCACAGGGTCCCGGACCATGGTCCCCGAAGGAGTGACGGACACAGAGAGCAACTCTTAGAGATGAGCCCTGAAGCCAGAATCACAGCACCTATTCTGACATTAAAGACATGTTTTATTTCTGAGCATTGGAACTAGTATTCCACAGCATCCTGTCTACTAAGTCACTCGCAGGAAAGGGCAAACCACCGCTCACCTTCCTCAGAGCCGCTGGTCACTGATGACTTTTGCTCTGAAATGCCTGCCTTGGGCAGGGAGCAGGGACTGACTAGAGGCTCCATTTAACAAACTCAGTGGTGACACCGGATCCAACAGCAGTGCTGTGCCTGCTGCGGTGACGACACACATGTGGCCAGGTCTCAGTGCCTGCGGGGCCCCTCCCAGTGTTCTCAGGGTGCACCATGCGGCTGCAGCAGGTTCCATTGGCCCTACCAGCTAAGACATGAGCCCTCTTGACAGTTTAAAAACAAAAACCAAAGAAATACTCAGACTGCTAATTTCTACCGTCCTCTTTCAAATATGGTACCAGAACTGTACAAAATCCAGCTCTGCAAAGACTTCGTCGGAACCACTCTTGGGATGAAGTTACTGAGCTTGGAGACGGAGGTACCATGTCCAGCGCCACACGGCAGCCAGGGCTTGGGATCCTCCGGGGCCCCACAGCTGGAGGCCTGAGGGCCTCTCCCTGCCTCTGCCAATTCTTGGAGCAACTAACAAGGACTCCTGCCTGAGCCTCTGCATGGCCAGGAGAGAAAAGAGAGGCTGCCCGTGGGCCCCTGAACACAGCCAGGAGCCTGCTGCCACCTCCAGTGACCCTGCCCCGCACAGCACCAGCTACAGAGGTGGTGGAAGCGGCCTGCAGCAGGGGTGGAGCAGCACACCACTGTGCCTCTGGGGACTGCACCACCCAGAGGCTGCAACTGCAAACTGCTTTACTAGGAAAGGAGGCAAGGCGCAAGGCCCTGAACAATGAATGGTCCCGGCTCCTGCTCCTCCTTCTGTCACAGCGTGGATCATCTCATCTGCACTCCCACTTTCCCACTGCCTCCAGCACCCCCACCTGCTAGGCCACAATGGGCTGGGGGAGCAAGTGTGGCCCGACACGTAGCTCTGGATGAGGCCCATGCACTGAGGCGCTTCTCCTGGGGGACACAGCACAGCCGCACAGCACAGCTACGGGTGGAACCATGTGTACCAAGCAGCTCCCGGCCATCTGGAGGGACTGTGAAGGCACTACCGCCACAGCCATCCAACTCAGCACCTCGGCCCCACAATGACTGGTCCAGGAAAGGACAAGAGAACAAGGAGCCCTTCCGCCACTTGATGCATCGGGACAACAGCCTGAGGTTGGCCTCCCACACAGTGGCTGTGGAAGTCTGAAAGCAGTCACATCCCTGGGCCACCAGAAGGACCATCGGGCTCCAAGACAAGCTTCTAGGAGACATGCGGCATTGTTCTGCATACTTCCTGAGGAGGGACAGGATGGTCCCTGGGGTGTTGTAAGGTGAATGGCCAGGAAGCATGCCATGACACGCCGACCCTGCCAACAACACGCCAAAAAGCAGAAAGTGGCCTTGGCGTGATAGTCTCCAAATATGATGGGGTGGCCTAACCCTGCTGCCTTGGTAGGCCACCTGGGGATGCACCAAGGAGCTGCGGTTGGTCCAGCTAGCTGGTGGCATTTATAGTAACCTAGGGCCATCAGTATAGCTCAGTGGACTAAGCGCTTGCTTAAGGAAGCACAGGGGCCAGGGTTTGATCCCTGGCACCGCATGCCACGCCAGCCCACTCTTGGGTACACTGAGCCGGCAATGGAGTCCAGGCATGGTGGCACAAGCCTATAATCTCAGCAATGGGGAGGCAAAAAACGGAGGATCACTAGGAGTCCAAACTACAGTGAGACCCTGCACCAAAAAAAAAAAAAAAAAAAGTAACCCAATCACACCAACAGCCTATGTGCCCCATCCCAGGGCCCAAACAGCTGCGCCAGGTCTAGTCAGTGGATCCAGAAGACAGCCTTTCTCAGCATCCTCAGCAGCCACGGCCCTGTCCAGTAAGTGGCCTTGGGGAAGTGCAGGATGGATCATGATGCCTTCGGGGCTGATGGAGACCACCAGATGCCCGCCACTCGGCCTGCCAGAAACCCCAGGCAACTCTGAGCCCAGCACAAACCCTGACCTGCTGCTGACTCACCGAACCTCCAGCCAGCCCAGCTACAGGCTACCCATGCACAGAGCAGGGCCTCTGCCTCGGATGGCTGGGCGGCTACAGGCAGAAGCAGTTCCGTGGAACGGACTAGCGGGATAGCAGATGCTCACCTCGCAGTGGTCAAAGGCAGAAAGAGAAGGGAGGAGCCAGGAAGGCAGAGGCAGCCTCCCTGGCTTGTGCCCCAGGGCCCCGACTCTTCTTCTCAGACCCCACCTCCAGACAGCACTTCTAAAGGTCCACCTAGGGGGCTGTGGCTATAGTTCAGTGGCACAAGCTCCTCCCTGGCAAGCACAAGGTCCTGAGTCGGACCCCCAGGACCCTGGTACCCAACAAACAAGAAACAACTACGAAAGCTCACCTAGGAGTCCAGGAGGCTGAGATACCACTTCTCCCCTATCGAACCTCCATGAGGCGGTTACAGGACAGCTGAGCATCTACACCCCCTGCCAGAAGGGCACATGCACAATCCCCACAGGGACAGGCTGAGCAACGGTGAGCAAAGCCACGCATGTGCTGTTACCCAGAAGAACACACGACCCAGCCCCCACTGCTAAGAAAGGAGCCTGAAGCTACACCAGAAAATCCCAAGGAGACATGAGCACACACCCCAGAAGCCACACCCCTGTGGAGACCAGAGGGCAGTCAGATGCCTGCCCAAGCTGCGGAGCCCAGGGAGCAAGCGGCCCTGTGCTGCCCTGTGGGGCTCTAACCAGGGCGTGCTGCAGGGAACAGCAGAAGGGGGGAGATGAAGCAAAGGGAAACATCCAAAGACAACAGTTAAATCTGAAACAAAAGTGATGGAATGCAAGACTGCCTCCAGAAAGGGGGTGGGAAAAGAGCCAGGGATCTCGCCTGCTGGGGTCTGTGGATTTGGCTCAGAAAGGGGAGGGGGGCAGATTTTTCTCCTGAAAATCTGCAAGTACAGTACTTTAGGTTTTATGGGCCACACACAACCACTGCTGCACCCTTGGGGACAAAGAGTATCAGAGCTGGTTAAAATGTAACCGTCAGCCAGACATGACAGCCCACGCCTACAGTCCCAGCATGCTGGAGGCTGAAGCAGGAGGATAGCTGCAAGTTTGAGGACAACCTGGGCTACACAGGGGAATGAACTCAGGACCCTGAGCTTGCCAGGCAAGCGCTTATTCTACTGAGCTATCTCTCTGGTCCCAGAAAACTTTTCTAAGAAGGTAAAAATCACTCTTGAGTTCACAGGGCATATAAAAACAGACCACAGACCAGACTGGGCCATGGGCTGCACTTTGCCTGTCTCCTTCTGGATTCATGTACATATTTCATTAAATTCAATTATATAACACAGTAACACAACTAACCTAAAAAGCAATCTCTAAAATGCCAGGCAAAATTAAGCTAATAAAATTAACCTACTGTCAAGGGCCAGCAAGGTAGTTCATTGAACTAAGCACCTGCTCAGGCAAGCACAGGGACCCAGGTTTGATCCCTGGCACCACTTGCCCCACCTATGGGCACGCTGAGCTGGCCACTGAGACAGGCCCTGGTGACACACACCTGTAATTCCAGCACTGGGGAAGCTAAAAACAGGAGGATCAGTATGAGCCTGAGCTTTGTAGTGAGACCCTGTACCAGATACATAAAAATAATCAAAAAAGAAAAAGCAAATTTTCAGGGTCAAAGATCCAGCAAAGCCAGTGCACACCTGTAGCTGCAGCTGCCCGGCAAGCTGAGACAGGATAGCTTGACCGCAGAGTCTGAGGTCAGGCTGGCCAGCACAGTGAGACCTAGCCTCAAAAATAAATACATAAAAATAAGAAGACTGCAGTCTCACCTACAAGAGAGCCACTTTAAACGTAATGAAATAGATGGGGTGTAAGTAAAAACATAAAAAACATACCACGTTTACACTGATGAAATGAAAGCGAGAGTGGCGTATTAATACCAGGCAAAGCAGACTTCAAAACAGGGAGCGCTGCCAAGAGGAAGGAGGATTTAAGGAAAACATGAAAGTGTCAGCTTCCCTCGAAGACATAACAATCACAAATACGTGTGTACCTAACAACAGGCTTTCAAAATACACCACACACAAGCTGAAAGAACTAAAATGAGAAAGGGACCAGGCCCCGCCGCATCTGGAGATCTTAACTGTCCTTGCTCTGTAATCTATCACACAACATGTGAGCGGTATGTTCCTCATGCTGGGAAACTGCAGGCCAGAAAAGAGCCCCAGACAGTGACAAGTGAAACAATCCCAAGGTTTCACACGGGCCTGGGAACCACTCACATCCCTACTAATCAGAGGGGGAGACTTTTCCAATACAGAAGAAGCTGGGGAGTCCACTGAGAGCGGGAAGGTGACGTTAGCTCTACAGTCAGGCTGGTTTTGTGCCTGCAAACAAAGCCTGCAAGCAAAACTTCAAGGAACAAGCCTCCAAGCAATACAACTATATCCAAGAAAAAAATCTCCAGAATATATAAAGGAACCACAAAAAACCCTGCATTGAGCACCTAACAGGTAAAATTCACAATGTCTGGCATCCAATCAAAAATGACCAGCCCTGACCCGAGCATGGGGACTCAAATCTGTAAACCTCAGCTATTTAGGAGGCTGAGATATGAGGATTGAATTTCAAAGCCGCCCTCAACAGTTTACCAAGACTGTGTCAAAATAA